TATATATATATATACGTTGGAGTATACTATAATAGGAACAGTCACGGCCTAGAGAATACGGAATGTATTATTAACGAGATAAATATATACGCGATGATATACGTGATGAGGCAAAACGACAGAAAGAAAGAGAGAGAAACATTTACGTATAAATATATATATATTATATGTGATTTGACGAGCGCGTGTTATCACGCACATACACACCTGCTGTTTCGTGACACGTTGAAACAGAAGTTTCGTCGAGCGATTTATTGTATGTTACGTTTGCAGCGATGTTATATACATGTATATGTTCGTCGGTACACTGGCGGTATTCCGTATATAAATATACATATAATTTAACTGCATGACAAAATAAATAAGCTTGTAGCGCATACGAGAGGGAAGGACAAGTCTCGCGGTGTAATTTATACACATTTTTTTTTAAATACACAACCTTACAATTACTTCCTAAAAATATATACACAAGATCGTATAATAATTTTCGTATATTTGTTAAAGTAATGAAACTCGGGATACGAAAAAATGACTTATCGTGTGTAGTAAAGGACCGGGAAAATTATTGTGTGCATCAAGGATTAATATTGAAAGGTGATAATTAATTATTTATTTTGAATATTAAAGCACTGAATGATGGTGCTTTTAAATAAAAATAAATAATTAATCAGAGTTTATAAATATTTATTTATATAAATGATTATTTATCAAGTAATTTATCTTCCAGTATTAGATTTCTGTAAAGATTACAGAGAATTAAATCACACATCTCCGCCCTTAAAGATTCGTATTCTCTTCGGTTCTTCTTTCGACCGCTCAATTGCTCGTAACTCATAACTTGACGGTTCGATAAACATTACGTGGTTGTGACAGCTTTACAGTACTGTAACGTTAAGATTCTCGTTATTGATTTAGATGCATGGGCGCACGGACATAAGTAATAAAGTATACGCGTAGACACAAATAGCTCTTATAATTAAAACATGCAAATAAAGACCTCATGCAACTTTTCCTCTCGCTCTCGTAATGTGATGCGCTAAGTAAGTAAGTAAAGTTATAATTTAACACGACTCTCTGTACAAACAAACAAGACACATATAAGCCACTAACTCGGACTGTCCTGTGATATTATTTTTACAACGCTTTTCTTATTATAGTTTGCTTTTGTAAGCTCGACCACACAGAGGTCGAATTTTTAAATTGCGTCTGGTACCTGATGCAAGATTTAAAAAGTTAAAGGTCAAAAGTATTCGATTTAATACAAATAACAGACTGATCCTTTTACGCTTGAGAATATAAATTCGACCATTTCGCGTTACAAGACACTGCATAGTAAAACTAGTATCAATTTGTTGCATCCGAGAAAACGTTACGAGTGCCAATTTTGATGAAAGAGAAGGAAAATTTATTAGACTAACTCAATCTTAATGAATATATGAATGTGTTATTTATAAACTATTCTATTGATGTTAGGTAAACAAATTTACACGAAGATCGTCGAACTTGGTAAGGAGAAAGTCTCAGAAAAAACTCCTAGACGTTTTAAATAATGAAGCATTTAAAAAGCAAGTTTATTTCACAAACGAAAAATTTGATATTTTAAAACAAGGAAATATATTTGATATTTAAAAACAAGGAAATATGATACGTGTAAATTTTATTGCATGCATTTTTCGTAAGCTATCTGTGTCATAGATATGTTATTTTAAATTAATGGAACCATAATATTTTTTTATCCACTAAAACCGCATAATTTGTTTTTATTCTGAATATGAAAATATGAATATAGAGCTACACAAGATTCGTTAATTTACGAGAGAGCCGAAAAATATTTTGATAAAGTATGAAATGTCCTGTAAAATAATTTTTCAATTTTTCAATAATTTTGATTTGATACTTTCATACATGAAATAACAAGATAAATCAATTAATGCTAAAAGAAACTCATAAAAAAGTTTATAAATTTTTTATTTTCTATGTATTTGAAGGTTGCAAAGAGAAAAGAGACTTTCTTCTTATAATAATGTAAATTATTCGTGCAATATTAGTTCTATTCTATGATTTTGATTTTATACTAACTTGATATTTTTCTAACAATATTTGCTTTGACTTAAACGTTTCTGTTTCTTTCTGAAAACAAGTCGACGTAATTTGTTTGCAGAGCGTATCGAGTAGTTAAAGCATTAGACGAAAGAGGTGGACGTTTCCTCCCCGGGCACTTTCTCAATGCGTGAAAGTATAGAATCATGATGAATCACGCAACGGGGGGAGAAGACGTTACAGGCGTGGGAAAATGAGCCGCGACGTAATTTCACGCAAACGGGAGGAGTTGTGTATGCGTGTGCGTAGCTACGACGCGCGGCGATTGCGTAAGAGAGATAGTAAAAGTACCTCGCAAACGAAGCGATCGCGCATTATTTTTCACCGTGTCGCGGGTCTTCCGACCATATTTATTCTGTGATAGACACATATGTGTTTACAAAATGAACGCGCTGGTGTGCATAACGCGCGCGTACCCGCGATGCTACGTACGCTATGATATTACCTAAGTTTATTTCGCGAAATAAGACGAATTGAGATGATCAACGCAGAACGTTTTGTAATTATTTCTTCTTTCCGTATACCCATCCTCGCAACTAAGGATTGAACATCGAGATAATTTTACTGCCCATTATATGCGTACATATCTCGTGTACGTTTTTATTTTATATGTAAAATTGCATTGCTAAAAGTTCTTTATTATTCCGGTACTATGTTAAATGCTGATATACTTATATATATATATATATTTATTTATTTATTTACTTATTTATTTATATATATAACCGAAAATTTTAATACTTAATATCGATAATAAATGTATATATTGAAAAATAATTTTTTTTCTAAATCTTAAATCTTAATGCATATTTTTCAAATATTTACAAGTAAACATTTACGTAATAAATATTTACTCAATAAAAAATGATAGTTATATCAAATTATTGATTTTTGTACAATTAAATATGTTCACATTTGGTAAATATTTGCTTAGAATTTTTCAA